CGGCCGCCGCGGCCTGGGGTCGGGGGGGCGAGGCGGCCCCGAGTTGGCCGGTGCTCTGTGAGGAGAGCCGCTCGTGAGGACCCCTGCCCGCAGCCGTGACCAGCCTTGAATAGGCGGTAGCGGTGCCACCACCACTCCCGTAGTTGTATACCTAATTATTTTATTAAGTAATATTGGGAGATTTCTTTAAATTCAAAGCAAATTGGTGCTGATCTAACAGCTTGCTTTGTTTGCTGTCTCTAGTTCACTTCTTACGATCTGGTGATGTTGAGGAGGAAAAGGAATGAATGGAACAGTTAAGGCAGGTAGGAGCTTACGCTTCATACTCTTGCCTTACTGCAGAACACGGAGAGCAAACTATCCCTGAAGTGACTTGGAATCCCTGGAGCCCTGTGTGCTGAGGAGCTGCTCCTTCCTCCTTGAAGGTAAGGCATATTTGATGACATCTTCACTAATCCCCCATTATCTGAGAGTATCACAAGTAGGATCTTGTTGGTAGTGTTCTTGCCATGTGTATACACCTTCTTGCACCCTCTGCTTCCCTAGGTATCAGTCACATTTGCAAAGGTGTTTCTGAGAACGTGCCAGCACCCGTTAGACTGGATTCGCAGTCCTGTTCTTTTGTGGTGTATTGTAAAATGAGTTTCTTAAATGTGAGGGCCTGCTATTGGCTAAATGGAGTTGTTACTTTAGCTGAATAAAGAGTATGAGTCATCTTATATGTTTTACTTTTCTGCTAAGCTACAGTAACTTTTTAAAATGCTTTTTAAATGTCTCCCTTTTTTTTTCTCCCTATTTCCAGTCATTGTGTTAGCTAAAATGCTTGCTTTTGTGCTGCTCTAGTTGTTAGTTATATTTCAGCTTTGCTGCCTTATCCTCTTTCTTCCCTTCTGTGAAATACATATGTCTTTTCTTTGCATATTACAGTTACTTTGGCCTTTACTGCCTGGTTTGTGTACTGTCGCTTTGCTTTTTTCTTGTACTGAGTAGCTACTCCTTCATGCTCTCCAGGTGCATGGCTTTGTTTTGTTTAGAAATTTGCAGTTAATGAACTCATCTCATGCACGTCTCATTTCTTTGAAAACAAATGTAGTTATAACATTGTAAGAAAAACTTCTGCTTGCATGCGTGTATATTACTGCCTTGCCTCGCTTTATGTTCACTGTACATCTTAGTTTATGCCCTAGTGCTTGAAACAACTTGTATGGTTAGAACCAAGTGTGCTGGGACTGTTGTGTGAATGTACCTTTTGTTAAATGATTAAGGTTCTTTATAGACAGAAAGTATTTCTATTTAGTATCAATATTTAAGCCTTATAACTGCTTTCACCTTCCCCACGTAGTTATGTTATTTTTATAATTAATCTTACTTTAAAACACATCATACTTTTTTTTTGTGCATAACTAATGCCATGAAACCTTCTGCAAAGTGTGGCATAATCTTCCAGTGTCTGTGCTCGTAGGCTCTCCCTGGTAAGTATTTTTCACAGCCTCTGCTTACTAGTCCCATGGAGTTTTTGCCTAGGACTGGAAGCATTGTCAGCTGTTTAATATAGCAAATATCTCCTGTTTTTCAAGTGTGCAACTGTTGTCAGTGAAGATGCATTTGGTATATAGTGTAAGCAGGCAGGATAGTCAAGTGTGTGTGGCAGGAAAAACTTCTAGGTCAAAATTTGCCTAAAGTGTTTGCGGAGTTCTTCTTTTTTGCAAGTAGCTGAGACGTTAGGAGATGTTAGGAGGAAGCGCGAAGCAGATCTCAATGACAAGGCATTGGGTGTGTATTGCCCTGTCCACTCCTGTCCATACTGAAAAATACAGAGGGTTCTTCCACAGGCAGATGCAACACAAGCAATGTGCTGTGGGGCTTGGAGGCTGAATCCTCCTCAGCTCCCCTCTGCCTCTCTCCTGAGTTGTACATTGCCATGATTCAGTATCACTGGATAGCCACGTCTCTTTTTTTTTACTTCCCTGAGTATACTAAGCACTGATCACTGTTCTAGTTCCATGTTTGATGTTTAGCCCTTCATTCTGCTGGTGAATTGCTGCCTGTTGCTAGCTGACAGTGACTCTGCCAAGCCAAGTGTTTTTCCATAGCAAGCTGTCCAGAAGCAAATGGTTGCATTTTAATGACAGTCTAGAAAGAATATTCCCATTGCCAGAGTTTTGGGCCTGGCAACAGGGTATTGTACCTGAAAGCACACATTTTTGAATCAATTGTTTTCTTTCAGTATATTAAGTACCAAGTGATACGACTTTGTCATTTTAAGCGTATGCAATGGTTGCAAACAGGTGGCCCATTGAAGTCCTGGTTGCATTTTCCTGGCACAAGCTACTACTGTGAGGGTGGATGGATGGAGCTGGTAGCTCCTTGTGATTCCTCTTTCCAGAGAGCCCTTTCTGAAAAGAGGAGTCTATTGCAGAGGGTTCTTGTTGTGGCAAATACGTCTACAGTACGTCTACAGTGGCAAATCCAGACTAGCCTGTTCACCAGCCTGTTCTGCTGCTTATCCAAGAGAATTCCCTGGGAAGCTGCTCAGCTGGGCAGGAACAGGGCGACACGGCTTTGGCGCTGTAGATGTTGCTTGCCCTGCTGACTGTGTGAAAAGTTTGGAAAGGGTTAGAGGGTTCCTTAATTATGTCGATTAGGAAAAACGGAGGTTTCAGCTTTTATTTGGGATCATGCTGTTTACCTATTCTGCTCATCTGCTGCCCTGTGTACCTTGGGCTGGGTGTTAGAGTGTCAAGAATGTAAATACATATCCAAGGATTAAATGCTGCACAGTATTTGTCTTTTTCTACGGTATTTTTACTTGTTTCATCATGCAGACTTTGTGGTTCCGTTTGACTTGAGTGTTCAGGTATTTTGGCTTGCAAATGTTGTGCCTTTAGGAACTTGCTGTTTCCAGTTCAGTTTGCACTCTATTCAGTCCGAAAGAAGCTAAACCAAAATATTTTGACCAAGTATGTGAGAGAAGCCAGGTAAAACAACCAACTGACAAGAGCAGATTAGATACAGCCTCCTGTCACCACACTAGCTCTAGCTGTATTAACTTAATGACATTTTGTTTGACAAATACATCAAGCCTGATTCAACACAATCCATAAATTTAATCAAGCACAGAAAATGCATGACCCAAATTGGCCCTTGAAAGTCTCCTGGCATAATTACACCAGATTATGCCGTATTTCACTGTATGCAAAACATTACATGTATTATCAATCAGTTACTCGTTAGAGTGACAGTACTGCCATAAGTGCCAGCATGCCTGGCGTCTCTGTTTTCATGTGACTGCTTTGGCTCTGAGCTTGCACTGTTCACGAGTACAGCCCTGCAAAGGTGTGCATTGGTGGACCTGTGCTCTAGGGACAATCCACGACACCTTTCAGTTTGAGAAACTGTTGTCCTCTCATGCCCATGGGATGTAGCACTCCCTCTGCATTGTTCTAGCTCCCCAGAATCACTTCTCTATCACTGCAGCATTTGTCGCAGTCTCCACCTGTCTCTGGTGCTTCCTCCATCTAGTGTCTAGATACATTTCTCTGCTTTCCAAAGCCATTCCAGCACCTGAGCATGGCTGCTCTTTGTGAAGGACCAGACAAAGCTTTCCTGGCTCCCTTGTGGTTCTTATCTTTGCTATAAACACAGGCTTTGAAAGACGAATGGGTTGGCAGCCTAAAAATAACTTCTGCCCTCAGTAATCTCTTAAAGAAAGATAAGTCTTCCTACTGGGCACTTGAGATGAATTCTCAGTGGTTCCCGACCATTAGGATCACAGATGAGCTGAGCCATCTGCTTAGGGGTCAGGGTCCCTTTTGCTTTGCCACTTGCTGTCTCAGAGAAAGAGCAGCTGCCTCTGGTGCCCGTGTGGGTGGGAGAAGGGAAACTTCCTTGCCTTGAACTCGCAGATCCGGTCAATGCTAACTAATACTGTAGCCTTACTCAATGCTCCTTTGCTTCCAGCTTGTTGGAGGAGATCCATATCTGGAGGGGAAATAAAGGAGTGGTGACGAGAGTTTCACACTGCTGGGGTAACTTTGTCCTTTGTGTCACTCATGCAAAGTTACTCTATTTTTTTTCCTTGTTTTCTGTTTCTTTGCAGCAGCCAGGGCACAATGATGGATAACCGTTTTGCTACAGCACTAGTAATTGCCTGTGTTCTCAGCCTAATATCCACCATCTACATGGCAGCTTCCATTGGCACCGACTTCTGGTACGAATACCACACCCTGTCTCCTGTTGAGAACGTTACTGAAAATGGCAAAAGCATCTGGGAGGAATTTGTGAGTGAAGAGGCAGATGAGAAGACCTACACAGATGCGCTCTTCCGGTGCAATGGTACAGTTGGACTGTGGCGGAGGTGCATCACTGTACCCAAAAACTCCCACTGGTACAGCCCACCAGGTATCTCCAGAGCAATTAGCACCTTCCCTGCTTGCCTGGGGTGGCACATTGCTAAATACCTCACAAGCGCATCCATGCTGCTTTGTTCTTCCAGAAGACCTATTTTTAGCCTCTGTGGGTTTTGAGTAAAGGCAATGCAAACTTTTAAGGAAGTATAGGGCAGAATGTTCTGTGGCTGTTAGTGCCACAGTATCTGGATTCAACACATGATACTTGATTTAAATTTAGTCTGCGGTTTGTTTTTTATCTCCCATCTGCTTTCCCACTGGGAATACAGTTACTCTCGCTCTGCTAGACGCTGTGGTTTTTTTAAGAGATGTCAATGCATCCAGTAACAGAAGAATTATACTACTTTGTCAAAGGGATAGCCATACTTTCTAGCTAGTTGTTCATTTTGCTCATGTCTCATCTGTCCTATTGTGTCCATAGTTCTTGTGCCAGAGTGCTGGATGTCATTGCAATAATGCAGATGTAAACCAAAATACTTTGTATTCTTTTTTCACGCTGACCGGGGATGGGAGCCAAAGGAAGTGTAAATGAACACTTGTTTTAATCACATCAAAATAAGTTTTGAATACATCCATGCTGTGTATGTGTGTATGAAGCCCTTCATTTTGAGCCCTCTTTTGGGAAAAAAAAGATGTACTGTAAAGCACTTCTGAAGAAAAAAAAAAAGCTTTTTTTGAAGTACTTTTTAATGGAAATACCTTCTGGGAGAAAAGCTTAAATTAGCTTTGCTCAGTAACATTCTTGACAAATGGGGGAGAACTGGATATAACACAGCAAATATTTCTCATCTTGTTACTGATCCTAGTCTATCTCATTTTTACAAAAGGTATTTAATAAGCTGTTACATTCTACACACGGAGATAAGCACAGTTCCATTATGGAACAGAGAGTACAAGGATATGTGAAAATATAGACAGGTATCAAATGATTTATTTCTTTTTGCCGTTCTGGCAAGTATGGCACAGATCTCTGGGTTATCCGCGTGAACTTCTAGAGTCTGCAGGTTTGAATGCTGTGCCTCACTTTAGTAAATGTACAGTATGTTTGCCCTCTGATAAGGCATCCTGCATATTTATTTGGAGAGCTTTTGTTTTCCTCCAAAATTCAAGTCAGAGGAATTTCTTGACTGAAAAGGTTGAGAGGGGTTGACTGGAGAATGGAGGGAACAATCTGATAGTAATTGTTTTTGTTATTTTGTTTGTTCTAGAAAATGATATGACCACAAATTGCATCAGTTTTTCCCTCTCTGATCAGTTCATGGAAAAATACATAGAGCCTGGAAACCACAATAGTGGCACAGACCTGAATCGGACTTGTAAGTGTCTTTCACCTCTGACAGGGATAAAAAGATTTACACATATATATGTATATCTCCTAGCTCTGGCAGTAGACTAAAATATAAAAGGAAAAGTAGGTGTTGTGGGGAAGATTTTGCCTGTGAATTTGGGAGCTAAGAGTTTTACTTTACTGGAGGCTTCTGTCCTTTCTGACTAAGCTAATGGGGGTGTGTGTAGGAGGGAATATAAGGAAATGGGAGAAGGTCATTTTCTAGTACACCTTGAACAAACTTTTGACACTTCCCCCCCCCCCCCCCCCCCCCCACTCTACCCCTCTACAATGACGCTGTTTTCTTTTTGGTCGTGTGCAGATCTCTGGAGGTTGCAGTTTCTCTTGCCCTTTGTCAGCCTTGGACTCATGTGTTTTGGGGCTCTGATTGGGCTCTGTGCTTGTGCCTGTCGCAGCCTTTACCCTGCCATTGCCACTGGAGTCCTCCATTTCCTTGCAGGTGGGTTCCCTTCCCACTTCCCCTCCCTCCTCTAGAAGCCACTCGTGTCAGCCCAGGGTGAAGCTTACTGCATTTTCCTGCTTCCTTCGCCAGGGCTCTGCACACTGGGCCTGGTTGGCTGCTATGTAGCTGGGATTGAGCTGCTCCATAAGAAGCTGCCCCTGCCCGATGACGTGAGGGGCGAATTCGGTTGGTCCTTCTGCCTGGCCTGTGTCTCGGCACCTTTGCAGTTCATGGCAGCTGCTCTCTTCATCTGGGCAGCTCGCACCAACAGGAAGGAGTTCACCCTCTTGAAAGCGTACCGTGTAGCATAAGTGCTAGCACCTGGGCTTTAGGATTCCTTGTTAGAGTCTCTTCTTTTCCCAATCCTTACCACTTTTGTTGTTCTTTTAGTCAGAATTCTGCCTTGTTCCTGCGTACTTCTTGCCAGTTGAGACAGTGCAGCCTATGGGTCCTAAAGACAAAGACTTCTGGTCTGAATGAGCAAGCTGTGCCAGAAGTCTGCAGAATTGAATAGGCTTTTTTAAAAAAAAACATTTTGAAGACATTTTTTTTCTATTTTTTTAATTTGTTTTGAACTTGATCATTGAATAGCTCCTTTTCCAGGTGTTCGTGTCCCTTCCTAATTTTATTATCCTGTGAGCCTGGAGGAAATAGAAGAGGCATTATAGAGTGGAAGCGGAGTAAGGGAAGAAAAGAAGTAGGTTGGCAAGAAGAGGCACTGAGCACATAAATGATGAGTAATGAGGCATCGTCTCTGCTGTGTGACCCCACAGGCAGTACCTGCAGAGAGAGAAACATGAGTGAGCACAGAAACCTCTGCGATGGGAGTGCTGTGGCGACATGAGTGCTGTAGCTTAGCTGTCAGTCTCCTGTTCTCACTCGTTTGCCACATCTTGTGGCTTCTGCCAAGATTGAGCTAAGCAGAGCAACTGACTATGGCAACATCTGCACAGCACACATCCTGAACGCAGACCCTGGGCTTGATTTTGCCAAGGAGCAGGATAAGTTGGCCTGTGGGGAGCTCTGTGCTGCTGTAGCTACATTGTTTCCAGGGCCCAGGCTAGTTTGGTATCTGCAATGCAAGCAAGTGTGCACTATGATCTTAGCCTGTGGTGCCTTTGCTTGCTGTGAAACAAGGTTTTCCTCTCCTTCATTCTGTTGGAAAAAGCCCCCACACAACTTTTCATTTCTAACTTGTTTTACTGTGTGTATGTATATGTATATAAATTAACTTTTTTAAAGCTCACCTGTTGATCCTGTGTAGCATATGACAGGGTTTTGTGTTTTTTTTTTTTTTTTTTTTAAAAAAAAAGGTGCTGTTCTCTTTGTTCTCTTCCCACCTTGCCCCAGACCTGTTGTTTAAATGAAATAAAAACAGAGCAAAAGCTCAAAAACTGTATCAGTGTTGCATGAATTTGGGAGGGCAAAGGAATGATCTGAAATGAATTTTACTTGTGAAAAGAAAAGGCAGTGTCCCTACAAAAGGTCTTTTTCTATCTTCATGGAAATGTCACCAGAAACAAGATGTTTGGTCAGATTTCTTACTAAGCTATTGAGCTCCTGCTAACATTATGTTTTCCCATCATGATTGTTGGGGATGCAGTGCAAACCCAATAATTTCTAATTAGCTTATGACCTCTGCATGTTTCTCTTCCATATCACTGCAGGTCTGCCCACATTGGGTGGCATATCTGCTAAAGAAAGCAGTGTTTCAAAGCTGAACTGTGTAATTCTGAGACCTTAAACTCCCTTGTTTCCTTGCTGCCTCTTTAGTTCAAGAAATAGATTTTAGAAGAAATGAATCCAGTCTAAGTGCATGACTGTGGTGGCAGGAGTGAGATGCTATCGAAGAGACTGACACAGAAATAAGCAGTTAACATTTGATAAGTGTTTCTATCCAGGCTGCATTTGTCGGGTCATCAAACAACCAGGTCACTACTTCATTGTTTTTTCAGGTTTATCTTTTATCTCCGAAAACAATAAACCTACTTCTCCTTTCTTGATCACTGTTGGGATCTTTACAGAATGAAACAAGCTAGATGCATCCATGATACTAAGAAGCCACGCTCACCAAAAAGAGCTGCACTCTGCCCTGTGCTTTCAAGATAAGCTTCTTCACCCGGTGTTCAGTAGATTTTTTTTCATATTTTTTTTCTTAAAAAGGCTTGCTACCCTCTTTAAAATATCAGAGCCAATTCTAAGCCTTAAGAGAGGGGATTGTGCTGCTTTTGTGTAGTATCAGAATAATCAGAAATCCTTGCTGCTGCTATGTCCTGCTGTAGTGCTTTTTCAGGCTCATTACTTATCTTTGACTCACATAGATAAGGCCCAAGTGCCTGACAGCTTATCAGAAATGCTAGGACCTGCAAGCGTCAGGTTAGGTCAACAGGGATAGGAGGTGCTTTTCTGCACTTGGAGAGAGAGGAAGAAATGCCAATGGATATTTTGTCCAGTGTGATGCTTATTTGTCTTCTGGATTCTTTTCTTTTGTTTGTTTGTTGACTTGGTTTTAAGCATCTGACAGAATGAATAATCATGTCCTGTTATTGTAATCTGAGCAATGGGAATCCTGCTTGGTTGCGCTCTCCCTCTCTGTCTCACATCCGAAACCTATTTCTCCAAAGTGTAAAATGTTAACATTCTTGCTTAAGAAAGGAGGATTGTCATGGACAGATAAGGGGATGTCAGATGTGCTTTTGGTCAGTCCTTTCTTGATCATTTTATATATTAGCAAAAGCAAAATTCCCAATTTGTCTCAAGTAAATGCTTGTGGGTTTTCTGAAATGAGGGAAACAATTTAACTGATAGTTGACTTGGAACACTTTAGTTAAAACAAGGATCATTTGTAGCTGTGTTGCCCCTCCTGTGGAAAGATTCCTTTACCAGAACGGATTTCAGTAAGAGCAAAGAAGCAGATTACTGCAGAAGGGAGGCTGGCTCTCTCCAGAGTCTGAGGTGGTGGATCTGCATGTCGCTGACCTCCTTTCTAACTGTGCTGTGCTCCAGGTAAGTGAGTGTAAAGAGCTCGTGGGCTGCTGGGCCAGGTCCCTTAGGTGGAGGAAGACTGAAAACCAGAGTAGACAATGGAGTAATTCAGCACGAGAGAGGTGCTCTTGCACGCTCTGATACGGGGCTTGACCCCGGGTTTGCAATACAGGCCCTTAATCCTGTGATCCTACACAGATCCTCAGAGCTCATCCCATCTCGCTCCTCCCATCTCGCTCAGAGCTTGGCTGCATTCAGAGACTCTGGCAGCCCGTGTGATGCCAGCACACACACACGAATGCAGGCTCCTTCGCTCAAAAGAGCAAAGAGTGCTCCAGCTCTGGAAGAAAGTGATGCTGGGATCCAGTATCCCTGTCCTTCAGCATCTTGTGGTGTGATCTCAGGTTCAGTGTTGGAGGGTTAAGACGGGCATGAATAGCAAGATAGAGAGAGACATGGAAAAAAAAAAAAGTACATGCATGTGGGGGAAATGGCATCTATTCCTAACACTGTTGTGTTTTTCCCCATATCTCAGGTAAGCAATGTCCTTCCAGCATGCCCCATGACCTTACTGCTAGGGATTTAGAAAATGATGAGGGTATTTTTGTTTGTTGGGTTTTTTTTTCCTAAGGCTGAAGTTTGTTTTCCTATCAACACTGAAAAGCCACTATGAAAATGGCATTCTCAGAAAGCTGCACAGAGCAGTGAAATGATTAGATAGCAGCCTCCTATTTTCCTCTGAAGTGGTCTCTCCCCTGCCACTACTGGAGGAGCTCAGAGCCTGGTGGGTAAGACTGCAAAGGTCGGTTTTATTATTGTGGCTGTGAAGATGGTGCCCACTGGTATTAGATTGCTGAAAGTAGGAGAAATCGTCAATTCCATTCACATTTTACATTAATGATAGAAAAGCCGTAGAGAGCAGACACAGAAGACTTCAAATAAGACAGTTCTATGAAAGCATGTTGTGGGTAGCACAATAGCACAGCCTTGCAGGGGAGCCCCAAGAGGCCCTGCTAATCTGATGCCTTATAGTCTGATTTCCTTTGGACTGTGTATTGTTCGGGCGCTCCTTTCCTCCCGGGAAGGTCTGTTTTAAGTTTTCTTGCTATGGTGATAATGGATGTCCCTTCTCCCAAAGGTTGTTTTTTTTTTTTTTTTTTTTTTTTTTTAACTTCCCACCCCGCCTCTTCTTTGTCAGCTAAGGTTTGCACTAAGTTATGTATCACCTTGTAGCCTCTCTCCCTGCACTCTTGTCAATGCTGTGATTCAAGGTGATGATTTCTGAAGAGCTGCTTCTTGTTCACCAGCATTGTGTGCACTTGGCCAAGACCTGCTATGCAAAATGAGGATCTGAAATGTCAGCACCTCGCTACGGTTTTATCTCGGGATGATTAGGATAGGATGGTTATCCTGTTAGTTAGACAGGATGGAGAGTTGGGCAGAGAGGAACCTCATGAGGTCGAACAAGGACAAGTGCAGGGTCCTGCACCTGAGGAGGAATAACCCCAGGCACCAGTACAGATTAGAGGTTGGCCTGCTGGAAAGCAGCTCCGCGGAGAGGGATTTGGGAGTCCTGGTTGACAACAAGTTAACCTTCAAAACCCGCTTGGACGCAGTCCTGTGCCACGTGCTTTAGGTGTCCCTGCGTATGCAGGGGGGTTGGACTAGATGATCTCTAGAGGTCCCTTCCAACCCTAAGCATTCTATGATTCTATGAGGCAGCAATGTGCCCTCGTGGCCAAGAAGGCCAATGGGATCCTGGCCGGTGTCTGGAGGAGCGTTGCCAGCAGGTCGAGGGAGGGGATCCTGCCCCTCTACTCAGCTCTGGTGAGGCCGCACCTGGAATATTGGGTGCAGTTCTGGACTCCCCTGTACAAGAGAGACATTGAGATTCTAGGGAGGGTCCAGTGGAGAGCCACAAATATGATTAAGGGACTGGAGCATTTGCTGTATGAGAAAAGACTATGCGAGCTGGGCCTGTTTAGTCTGGAGAAAAGAAGGCTGAGAGGAGATTTGATCAACATATGTTCAAGTACCTGAGGGGTGATTGTAGAGAGGATGGGGCCAGGCTCTTTTTCGTGGTGGCCGGTGGCAGGACGAGGCGTAACGGGTGTAAGTTGAAACACAGGAAGTTCCACCTCCACGTGAGGAAGAACTTCTTTCCTGTGAGGGTGACAGAGCCCTGGAACAGGCTGCCCAGAGGCTGTGGAGTCTCCTTCTCTGGAGATCTTCCAAACCTGCCTGGATGCCACCCTGTGCCACGTGCTCTGGGTGCCCCTGGTGAAGCAGGGGGCTTGGACTAAATGATCTCTAGAGGTCCCTTCCATCCTCAACCAGTCTGTGATTGTCCACCTTTATCTGTGTACATTTCCTGCCTGCTTTGATCGCCTATCACAGCAGATAGAGGATAATCTCTTCTCTTGAATCTACCTTATTATTATTTTTATTTATTTATTTATTTATTTTTATTTCCTCCAGGATAGTCACAGTTTTGTGTTGTGTTTCATGTATATATTATATATTATGACTG